GGGTCAGCGGATGCTGACGCGCATAGTGCGAAGAGGTCGCCAACTTTCTGCAGAGTCAATCACTACAGACCTCCAAACTTCATGTGGCCTTCAGATTAGCTCAAGAACAGTGCGCAGAGAGCTTCATGGAATGGGTTTCCATGGTCGAGCAGCTGCATCCAAGCCATACATCACCAAGTGCAATGCAAAGCGTCGGATGCGGTGGTGTAAAGCACGCCGCCACTGGACTCTAGAGCAGTGGAGACGCGTTCTCTGGAGTGACGAATCGCGCTTCTCCATCTGGCAATCTGATGGACGGGTCTGGGTTTGGCGGTTGCCAGGAGAACGGTACTTGTCTGACTGCATTGTGCCAAGTGTAAAGTTTGGTGGAGGGGGGATTATGGTGTGGGGTTGTTTTTCAGGAGCTGGGCTTGGCCCCTTAGTTCCAGTGAAAGGAACTCTGAATGCTTCAGCATACCAAGACATTTTGGACAATTCCATGCTCCCAACTTTGTGGGAACAGTTTGGAGCTGGCCCCTTCCTCTTCCAACATGACTGTGCACCAGTGCACAAAGCAAGGTCCATAAAGACATGGATGACAGAGTCTGGTGTGGATGAACTTGACTGGCCTGCACAGAGTCCTGACCTCAACCCGATAGAACACCTTTGGGATGAATTAGAGCGGAGACTGAGAGCCAGGCCTTCTCGTCCAACATCAGTGTGCGACCTCACAAATGCGCTTCTGGAAGAATGGTCAAAAATTCCCATAAACACACTCCTAAACCTTGTGGACAGCCTTCCCAGAAGAGTTGAAGCTGTTCTAGCTGCAAAGGGTGGACCGACGTCATATTGAACCCTATGGATTAGGAACGGGATGTCACTTAAGCTCATATGTGAGTCAAGGCAGGTGAGCAAATACTTTTGGCAATATAGTGTATATATATATATATATATATATATATATATATATATATATATATATATATATATATATATATATAAAACCATGTGATGAAATGCCAACCATGGAAAAGAAGGCTGCAGAATAATATCAAGGAAGGAAGTGAGTCAATTGACCGAGGCCCTAAGAGGTACAATGAAAATAGCCAGATGCACATACCTAGAGCACTGGAAACTGCCAAACAAAGGCCCCAAGCCTTGACCTGCCGCCTAAAGGGATACACGAGAGACAAGGATGCCAGATGGGTAAACCGGCTGTTCGCAACTCAACCACTGTAAGTGTACGCTCAGTAGCAGGGACACAACAGTAGAACAACCTCACCAAGGCTGGAAACAGAACAGTACTGGAAAGACCTATGGGAGAAGGAGGCAGCACACAACAGGGAGGCACAGTGGCTGGTAGCTCTAAGAGAGGACCACAGCAACCTCCCTGAACAGAATCCAGTCAACATCACAGTGGCAGACATCCAAACTGGACAGCACCAGGCCCAGACGAGATACACACTTACTGGCTTTAGAAACTCCATGAAAGCTTGGCAGCACAAATTAACCAATTGCTGAGAAATGGGAACCAACCTGAATGGCTAACCGAAGGGCGCACAATCCTGATCCTGAGGGACCCCTCAAAGGGTACAGTCCCATCCAACTATTGACCCATTACCTGCCTCTCCACAACATGGAAGCTCATGTCCAGGATCATAGTGGCTAAGATAAACGGGCACATGGATCAATACATGAGCACAGCTCATAAGGGAATTGGCAAAAATACCAGAGATGCCAAACACCAACTCCTGGTAGATAGAACAGTCGCTGAAGACTGCAGAACCCAAAACACTAACCTAAGCACTGCCTGGATTGATTACAAAAAAGCATTGGACTCAATGCCACACACTTGGTTCATTGAATGCTTGGAGCTATACAACATAAACAGGACTCTAAGAGCCTTCATTGCAAACTCAATGAAGTTGTGGAAAACCACCCTTGAGGCCAATGGCAAGATACTTGCACAAGTCTCCATCAAACATGGATATATATATATATCAAGGAAACACGCTGTCCCCACTGCTGTTCTGCATAGGTCTGAACCCCCGCAGCCAAATAATAAACAAGACTGGCTACGGGTACCGACTTAGGAACGGGACCACCATCAGTCACCTCCTATACATGGATGAAATTAAGCTGTACGCTAAGAATGAGCAAGACCTTGACCCACTGGTCCATACCATCCGGATCTTCAGCACAGACATCGGGATGTCATTCGGACTAGAGAAGTGTGATCGGATGGTGACTAAGAGAGTGAAGGTAGTCCACACAGAGGGGGTCTCACTCCCAGGAGGAACAATAACAGACATTGAAGACAGCTACAAGTATCTTGGAATCCCGCAAACAAATGGCAACCTCAAAGAGGTAACAAGGAAAGTGGCTATGGACAAATACCTCCAATGAGTAAGGCAAGTGCTAAGGAGCCAGCTCAACTGCAACAATAAGTCTCGGCTAATAAATAGCTATGCTCTACCAGTAATCAGATACCCTGCAGGAATAAGAAGCTGGACAAAGGAAGAGGTACAGGCCATAGATGTTAAGACACGAAAGCTCCTAACCATGCACGGAGGGTACAAGCCCAAATTCAGTACCCTGAGACTGTACGCCAGCCACAAGAAAAGCGACCGAGGACTAATGAGCGTAAGAGCCACTATCCGGGATGAAATATCCAAGATCCATAAGTATATCAATGACAAGGCTCCAACAGACGACATCCTCAGTGAATGTCTCAGTCAATGGGGAACAGAAGATGAGGTGCCAGAGACTCCATCATGGGTGGATAAGCCTCAACACAGGATGTACCATCGAAACATAATCGAAGTTTGAAGGAAGCAAGAAAACGGGTATATATATATATATATATATATATATATATATATATATATATATATATATATATATATATATATATATATATATATATATATATATATATATATATATATATATATACTTGTGTGCTTGTTTGTTCTGTCTAAAATGTTTATTTTGGAATAAAGAGGTTAATATAAAAAATATTTTTTGTCCGATTCATCGATTAATCGAACAAATAATCGGCCGATTCATCGATTTTTAAAATAATCGTTAGTTGCAGCCCTAGCCCATACCCATTATTTTGGCTTAAGATTATATATATATATATATATATATATATATATATATATATATATATATATATATATATATATATATATATATATATATATATTAGTGCTGTCAATCGATAAAAAATTTTTAATCGCGATTAATCGCATCAATGCCTGAGTTAACTCGGGATTAATCGCATTTTAATCGCAAATTTTTTTTATGATTGAAAATCATTTAAATACTCTCGATGACATACAAAAAATACATACAGGCTAGGTTTGTGCCAATGTTCTTTTTTTAAAATGAAAACAGGTCACAGACACTGATTTATGCCATAGAAACATATGGCAAGAAGATGGGGAGGCATATAGCAAAAAATAACAAATATGTAGCCAAAAAAAAGGCCCTGAAAACAGGCTTATGTAAAAGACAGTCTTTACAGTTAATACAGTCTTTTGAACAAAGACAAGCATTTTACCCTACTGCTATAAAATGCAGTAGAGTTAACATTAGATGTCAATTAACCAAGATAATAATGAACAATTTTCAATCAATACATCAAAATCAATAGACCGACATCACTAGATGGAGGTAATCTATGCTCTAGAAAGTTACTTTTCAGCCTCTTAACAAAAATGAGAACACACACACACCCATCCACCGACACACACACAGACACACACACGCGATACCGACCTGTTGCGTACACAGACAGCAAGAGTGCCGTAGCAGATTCCATTTCACCTCAGTAATCTTTTTTCTCAGCGTATTTCAGGTTGCTACTAGTTACCAGACACTCAACTTGTTTGTTGGTGGTGGGACTTAAAGAAAAGGCACTAGCGCTACCCAGTGTATGAGCGTCTTTTTCCCTTGAGGAGCTCCGCTCTAGAAGCCTATGGAAAATGCCTACACTGGGGGAAAAAAGCCCCGCCTTCCCGCAGGCTGCAGCGGGATGTACTTGGAAAATTGCACCATAAAACCACATATCGTTAATCTCACGTTAAAAAAATTATCGCCGTTAAAATGGCCTCGCGTTAACGCGTTAATAACGCAATAATTTTGACAGCACTAATATATATATATATATATATATATATATATATATATATATATATATATATATATATATATATATATATATATATATATATATATATATATATATATCTGATGAACGGCATCCAAGAAGGGGGCAGATCTAAAGAGGCTAACACAGGATGTACATCTTCACAATTAGGACTTGAACGACTCCAGAGTCCCACCCTTTTTTCCCACCGACCGTACCTACTACCTACTAAACAAGTGATCAAAACCTAATGTGACTTAGAATATACTCCTTCTTCATTATATTCCAATGCTGCAATGTTGGCTGTTTATGTACAACAAAAAATTAATCCTAGCTTTACTTTGTATGTTTTAAAAAGGTGGAATATTATCTGATTAGGTGTTTTTCAAGAAAGCAATTCATATTTTTATGTGAAGAAAATTTTATTGTTCTTTGTAAAGGTCCATATGACATTAAACCTTTTGCTGAAATCCAAATGAAAACAGCAAAATTAATCACACATGAACCTTAGCTAGTAAAATTATGCTGTTTTATATGTTATTTTATTAAAGCATAGTTAATTTGTCTAGTTTCAAATCAGTTGGAAGGTATGGAAAAAATTACAATAGAGTAAATGTGCATATGCACCATAGATGCACATGCTTCCATGTGGGCTAATATGCTTGAGTGTGTTCCCAAAACCCAGTGCTCTTTCATCACATTGGAGAGAGAGAGATGATGACCCTATAAGTTTAAATTGCTTATCTTTTCACAAGAGAAAATGTATGTTTGTTATGTGTATTTTATGTAATCAAATTAAAGATGTTTGTGTTGTCTTTCTGTTAGACACTGACTAACTCAAAACAATTGTTGTTTTTGTACTCACATGCAATGCGTACATGTGCCTTGCGGCTTTTGGTGGTTCCGGCAGAGCTCCAGGCCACACACTGACACCAATAATCTTCTGGACCAAATAGCTCCTCCACTTGCTGCCGTGTTATTTCTATACTGGCTTCTCTTACAACTAGACCTGCAAAGGAACAAAAAAAAAATAAATAAATAAAAAATGTCAATTAATTCACATCAATATCAGTTTAAACCAGAAAAATACTTTTTAAGCAGTTAAATATGTGAAACATTAACAGCTTTAAGGCCAAAATCTAAACACTGAAATAAATACAATGTATGGAATACCAAAAAAGTTTAAAAAACAATTGGACTTTCCAAGTTTCAAGATGTTTTGCTTCCCTTCCAGGAAGATTTCAGCTTTCAAAAACCTACGATGCAGCGATAAAGTTGATTCCTTCCCGCTATCATCGCAACCCCTAAACCCATACTGGGGAACAGAACACCTCTCCTGTTCATCCAGGACAACATTTACCTCTAACAACCCCCCTTTCAGAGACATAGACAGGTACTGGGTATTGCAAGCTAACAAAGAACCCAAACGACTGCCCCTTCCTAAGGGGCAGACTCATTCGTCCAGTCCAGTTTGCATGTTTTCTAAGGCAAAACAACGCTTTATTTTTGGTCCACTCTGTAAAGCCTCGACCTCAAAGCTATTTCTGACATTTGTGAGTTGAAAAAGCTTCCTGGATGGAAAGCGGAAAGTCTTCAAACTTGGAAACAAAGTCCAGTGGATTGTTTTTTTTTACCTTTTTTGAATGACTATGACCTGGATGACTGGGAATTCATCACTAGCATGAATGGAATAGTATTTTCACCCTTTGAATCTTTTCCATATTCTGTTACTTCGCACCCTCAAACTTCAAAGTATTTTATTGTGATATTCTGTCACTGAGCAACACAATTAAATGTAGAGGAAAAGGATATGGGGGTATATTTTGTTTACAAATTACAAATTCCTCCAAAAGAATGTGCAGAGTGAGGGAGTAATTAGATAATTTACAAAGGAATCCCCTTCAAGCTGGACAACATCTCAAACACAGAGAGGGAGCCACAAAAGAATAAAAATCTGAATAATTGTTGACCTGATGACACATATACAGTGATGGGAGTAACGGTGTTTAAAGTAACAGCGTTACTAACGCCGCTACCTGTTTTTAGTAACGAGTAATTAAAATTATTACTCTTACTGTAGCTATAACGCAGTTACAATTGCCGACACCCCGTTACTGCACGTTACTCAGGTCGCACAATTAACCTTTTTTCATGATAGGACTCGTGCGCGCGTCATGAGAGAGGGGAGGATGGAGAGGTAGGAGGACTCCTGCGGCAAAACAGGGTTTTCCAGATGGAAATACCGGTGTTACGTCGAGCTGCGTTTCCCCATCAGATACGTCTTCCCCTGCATCTCTGCACAGCGCGGCGGCACGATTCATGGATGGATGGATGGATAGATAGATATAGCTACATGTTGCAGTATCTATAACATTCCAAACACAGGATTTCAGAATTAGACATCCCCAGTTATTAATTTCATACACTCGCAAAAGTAACGCAATAGTTACTTTTACTAGTAACTAGTTACTTTTATTGTGGAGTAACTCAGTTACTAACTCAGTTACTTTTTGGGAGAAGTAACTATAACTAATTACTTTTTCAAAGTAACGTGCCCAACACTGCACATATATAAGATCAACTTTCATTGATCTTAATCAATTTTGTAATGACGGAAGGGCAAAGCTTAGTCTCCAGTTGTAACTACAGTGGTCCTACAAATGAGCAACTACTGGTTTTTCCACCACGTTTTAATCAGTGTTGTCAAAATAAAGGAAGAAGGGAGATAAGAACAATATTTTTTTGTAAGATCTATCAAAAGCCAAGTGGAGTCCATGGAATATAGTACATAGAAATGTGTGGTAATGAGTAAAATGAAAACTTCACAAAGTATAGATAAATCTGTAGAGCCCTACATGAGTAGCAAGGTCTTTAATATTTGCTAATATTTCAAATTCCAGTTCTTTTTCACCCCCCCCCCCCCCACTGAAATAATGCAGCTCTTTTTACATTTACGTTATCATATTTAGTTACTTTAACACAATTGTTTTATATCCTACCCTGCTGACATGAAAAAATTTTGTTAAAGTAACTAAATATGATAACGTACGGTAAATGTAAAAACAGCTGCATTATTTTTTTCAGTACCCTATGAAAGCAACATGATGTATTTTTTTTTACTTCTCGAACTTCAAAGCCTTAATTTTGATTAACTAATTAGAAAAATGTTGACATGTAAAAAAAAAATCAACGCAGTCAATGCTTATATAGGCCTACAAATTGAATCAATAATATCATTTAACAAATAAAATAATTTATCTTTAGATTTGATTGAAGTTAACAGTAGGTCATGAGACCCTGTATGCTGTCAGTTGACTAATGGCAGAAGGGAAGGAGAATGATGTCCCAATAAATCCTAAAAAACTAGCTGAAGATGGTAGAATTAGCATAATTAATTAAGAATAGTATTTATTTTTGTCTACAAAGAATATTTTCATCATTAGAGCAGCATTGGTAAAGAAAGGGGATTAAGTAATAGCATAATAGGGAATATTTCTGTAAAAGACCTCCTGCTATGAGGAGAAATGTGTGACCATAAGGGCTAATACTGTATAATGCAACAGAGAGATTTTTTATGTAGGGCTGATGGTGGACTACAGGGTGCCTTTACTTGCCTTTGTTTTCATATATAGTGATGACCAAAGGTACTTTTGACAGAAATTAACCAAAAGAAAGCTCTACTTAAACATAGTATTACTCAAGTAAAAGTAGAAATTGTCACTAACAAAATTATTAAGAAACGATTTGGTAAAAAAACTATTCAAACTGTCCTACAAATGTTGAATTAACATGCATAAAAATAAAATAATCAAGCAGTCAAACACAAAATAATGTGCAATTTTGGAATTTTTAACTCTTGAATGGCAAAAGGTTCAAAAAATACCATGACTAGATCATCAATTTAGGCGGAATTAATACTCCCTCCTCGCTTGAATGACCTAAATATTTGGATTAAAAACAATAAATAATTCAACAATTCAACATAAAAAGAGTTTTTAAATGAAAAAGTTGAATTATCTTTTTGATATATGGTTTTTGATTAAAATTAATTAACTGGATTAAAAACTTTAATCATGTGCCACCACTGGTTTTTCCCTTTAGCAATCCTAAAGAGGTATAAAAAGTTTACAAATGATACTACCACTTGTGGCCAAAACACAGAACTCCAAATCTCTTCTGCTCACTCTTGCGCTCATTCGCACTTGACAATTTTTAATTTTTTTTTTACCTTACGTGGAGTTTCCATTGCTGTCTGAGTTTAGCTGGATGCCGCTCACTTCTACTGTAAGTATCCACAAAATCACCTTGAATATACCACTTTAATTGTTGCAGGGTAAGACCCATTCAAACATGGATGCGCTTAATGTCACATCAGCAGAAACAGTGCAGGAACTCGAAACCCAATGAACATTTGAAAAAATAGGCAACAGGTTTAAAGATAGATCACTTCTGATCTACTGAGGTCTACTGAAACAATGATTTAGTCATACAGGGTTTAATAAAAAAGCTATTTTATTCATATTTTTCCATAAAAGCATACAGCCACAAAAGACAAGGGAAGGTTTTAAGTAACCGAGGCCGACTGATATGAATATAAAGGGGTCATCAATAGAAAGGCACCGTTGGGAACGGGAGCATAAAAATCAGATTAAAAATGTGTAATAAAGAAAGGATGTGGAAAGAAGCTCCAATAAAACACTGTCTGTATAAAATAATGTAAATGTTGCAAAAAAAAAAAATTTACAGGAGAAATCAACGGGGCACTGATTAAGAAAAAGAAAGGGTAACTCAAAGAAATGAAAAGTAGGTGGTAAGTGGGAAAAGGAAAACAGATGGTGGTAGTAGTAATAGAGAGCAACAAGACATTGAGGCAGGGAAGGTGGGGCAGGAGTGAGGATAACAAACAAGATGGTACAAGAGCACAGGGAAATTCATAAAGAAACAAGAGAGGCAGAAAAGATACAAATTATTTTAAGTTCAAAGAATGTGGAGAGTAAAGTAGTCCAGAAAACAACATATTGGCAGTTTATTTCGGGTTCAGTGGTGTTACAAAGACCCCATAATATTTCATGAAACTAATTTAGGCCTGCTTATGGAGACTCAGTGAGTTCTTGCCAACTGAGAGATAGTTACTGTATAGCAAGCAAGCTGGTATAAAGGCAAAAGTACAGAGAAAGAAAAAGCTTAATCTCTTTAACAAGATTGTAGCAACTTTATTCCTTGAATCACTTGGATGAGAACTAAAACATTAAAGCTTTGGCAAAACAAGCTTTCAGTGAGGCTTGAGGAATGATGTAAAGATCTCATTTCTGATTTGGGAGAATAATGAAAAGACAGGACATATAGAGAGAAGATGGGAACCACAAAGCAAGTCCTTTGAACAAAGCGATTAGTAAACAGAGTAAAAAGCTTGTGGAAGGCACAACTAAGGAAAAGTGCAGATGAGAGAAAAACACAGTGAGGGCATAGAGCAAAGACAGCATAAAACTAGTGAACATCAGTGCTCCAAATAACAAGAAAACGAGGGAGACTGATATGGCTTCACAGGATTAGATGAAAGAGCAGAGGAGAACATAAAGAGAGGCAGAGGTTAAAAAAAGTGGCCAGTAAAACAAGATAATTAAAACCAGCATGGAAACTGGGGCTACATCTAAGACAGCTAGCAGATTGGCAGCTGCAATGAGCAAAAACTACGGGGTACAGAGAGGATGGGCACAAGAGAGAGGGAAAAGAGACAGAGAAACGGGAGAATGATTTGCCAAAGTAATGAGGAAAGTAAGGCAATTAAAGTCAATGATTCAAATGAGCCAGCTAGTTAAGTCAAGCCAATTGAGTCAAGCAAATGTAAAGGTAGCACATGGGACACAACCCCTAGAAGTAAAGGATACAACATGTGGTAGAAAATAAGCCTCTTCCTAAATATAGAAGATCTGAAGCATTTGTGAGGCTATATAGGTGCCTCAGTTAGTTTCATACTAAAATAATGCTGGTGTGCAATATTTAGTGGTT